TTAGTGAATTGAAAACAGACAAAATGGGTCTGCCTGGTGGGGTATATGTGCTGATAGTGAGGGGCAGACCATCTGTGTGGGAACAAGGAAGATGGCTACTTTACAGCAGTGGTAAGTGTGAGCCTCACTGAGAAGGTGACCTCTGAGAGACTTGAAGGACATGAAGGAACTGTGCAAGAGGATGTCTGGAGGGAGTTCTTTCTAGTCAGGGGACCCCAGTGCACACACACTAGGGCAGGAGTGTGTCCTGTGTTCAAGGAAGGGCAAGGAGGTCACTGCGGCTAGAGCAGAGAGCAGGTGAGATGAGGTCATGAGGTCAGAGGTCAGTCTCATCGTGGAGGTCTGAGGACCTTGGAAGTGTTTTGAGTTTTCTCTGAGTAAGGTGTGGAGTTGCAAGATGGTTTTGAACAGATGCTCCACCTGTAGGACTTGTCTTAGAAGCACCTGTTTGCTGCTGTGCAGAATCGAGAGATGCGGGGAGAGTGACCAGTAGAGAAAGTGTAGGAAACTAGTTAAGTGTCGGGTGCCTGGGTGGCTCAGTTTGTTAAGTATTTCCTTTGGCTCAGGTCATGATCTCAAGGTCGTGGGATCTAGCCCTGCATCTGGCTCCCTACTCAGAGGGGAGCCTGCTTCTCCTTCTCCCTCTGCCCCTCTCCCACCCCTGCTCAGGCTCTCTTGCTCTGCTCTCTCTCTTTCTAAAAAAATAAATAAAATATTAAAAAAAAAAAAAGAGGGAGAGAGAAAGAAACTAGTGCAGTGTCCCAGGAAGGGTGTGTGTGGTGTGGGGTATGAGGAGGGATGATAATAGGAAGTGGTAGGGTGCTAGAGATTTAAAGATGGACTTTGCAGCATTTCCTAATGGATCCATTCTGGGTGGTGAGGAGGAGGAATCAGGGAGGGCATCCAGTATTTCAGACTACAAGTAGAAATGTGGAGTTCCTTCCTTGGATATGGGGAAGATTCTGGAAGCAGGACATTTGGGGAAGCAGCAACACAAGCATCCAATTTAGGAATATTAAATCTGAGATGTCTACTAGAAATGCAAGTGAGGGGGCTCATGGGTGGCTCAGTACACAGAGCATCTAAGACTTGGTTTCAGCTCTGGTCATGATCTCATGGTCCCAAGATCGACAGGCTACCCACTAAGTGTGGAGTGTGCTGGAGATTTTGTCTTTCCCTCTCTCTTGGTCTTTCTGCTGCTTATGGTCTCTAAGTAAATAAATTAAAAAAAAAACTTTTTTTTTTTTTTAAAAAGGAAAGAGGGTGCCTGGGTGGCTCAGTCAGCTAAACGTCTACCTTCTGCTCAGGTCATGATCCTAGGTTCCTTGGATCAAGTCCCACATTGGGCTCCTTGCTCAGTGGGGACCCTTCTTCTCCCTCTGCCTGCCTCACCCCCTGCTTGTGTGTTCTCTCTGTCTGACAAATAAATAACATATTTATAAAAAATTAATAATTAAAAAAGGAAAGAAATTCAAACAACATTGCCAGTTGGATATAGAGTGCAGGGCAGGAGAAATATCTGGGTTGGAGAAATAGATTTGGGAGGTGACAGCATATACATGATGATTAGAGCCTTCAGCAGAGATGAGGTCACCAGCGGGGCGAGGGCCATAGAAGATAAAGGAGCAGAACCAAACCCTGGACTCCTCAGGGCTAAGCAGGCTGATCAGAGCGCCCAGAGCGCACTGCACAGTCTGATTCTGCATCTAGAAGGCACAGAGACCAGGGATGCCCAGCCCTCAGTGTGCACAGGAATTTCCTGGACTATGAAGATCTAGACAATCTGGGGTAGAGTGTGAGATTCTGGGTTAATAGCAAGGTTTGTGCAATGGCTGCTGGTCTTCAGATCTCAGATTAAGTAGCAAGCACGTGGGAACTACCTGAATGCATGGCCTCTCCTGTAGGGCTTATTACGTAAGTGATTCCTGGGCACACATGCCCAACATTCTAAGGTGGTGGGTCTGGGGAGAGGCCTGAGTATTTGGTAACAAAGCCACATGCACTCTTGTGACTTTACCAGATAGGGAAGCACTGAAGTCATTGATGAGAGCACTCATTGTGGGGAGGGCGTCTTACTTACACATTTACTGTTTTTTTTGGTAGGAAGAAAAGCCCAAGGCATGCTGGGAGATACATATTTTCTCCTCCTGGGGCACAGCCAGGCAGCAGATGAAGGAAGTGGTTATCAGCTTAACATAAAGAAAATGTCTGATTTCTAAAAGAGTACCTTAAATGTTCCCAACATACAAACACACACACACACACACACACACACACACACACACACACACACACACATCCTAGTAACTCTGACAGGATGCAGGTGACAGCTAATAGTGGTAATCAGTTTGCAGCATATAAATATATCAAATCAAAAGGTTGTGCCCTTAAATTTATAAAATGTATGTCAGTTATATAATAAAACTAGAAAACAATTCTGAATCCATGCTCTCTGAAAGTATTCCTTCATGGATTTCTCACTCCTTGTTCTCAACAACAGAGTCCAAGTTGTTTTAATTGAAACTATATATATTTATATGGAAACATATATGTGTATATGCATAGTTGAGGAGAATTATATGTATTTCATATATAATATAAAATGTAAATTATATATAATAAATATATAATATATATTTTAGGATTAAAGTAACATGAAATATAAGTTGTATTTATATATTACGAGTAAATATATTTATAGTGGAATAAATGTATTATGTATACATATATAGTTAGAATATTTGGCCTCAGTTCATTTCAGGGAAAGCCACAGAACAGGCCCAAGGCTGTGCAGCCGGGAACAGAATCTGCCATCGCACCCCAGGTCAAGGCCTAAAGAGGAACCACTGCCCCCTGTGCTGGGCACAGGTCCCACTGTTCACACCACTGTACCCTAAGGCCAAAACTGCTGTCGCTGCTGCTCCCAGCAGCTGGATGACACAACGGACACTCACACCACCTGTGCCAAATGCATGCAGGTCCCAGTTTCTCTGTCATACATCCTGAGTCAGAGTCTGGCATCTGGTCACCTGGCTGGTGGAGCCTCAGGCCCTGTCCCCCTGCAGCTATGTGTGACATCCCGACTCTGATCTGGATTCCTAGGGAGTGATCACCAACATCCTCGGACTTGAACTCTTCATTTGGTCTGCTCTCTGCATTCCTAGCCACAGGCCTGTGGGAGGCCACGCATTCAGGTGGTTCCCAAAGTCACCCCTGCTGTAGGCAGATCCCAAGATGCCCCCAGTGTTCCCATCCTTTGGTATCATGTCCTTGTGTAATAATACCCACTTTGGGAACAGAAGCTGGACATAGTGACTTGCTGGTGACACACAGAATAGAGAGAAGTCATGCAGTGAGTATCTGGAATCACCAGGACACAAGATATGAGGGGCCTGGGGTCCACAGTCTCAAGGTGGGCGGTCCAAGCCAGGCTGGGTAAGTGCAGATTTCTGATAGAATCCAATGACAAATCACTCTGAATTCCTTTTCCCTCTGAGGGGTTTCTTCTCTAGATCTCAGCCCCCACATCTACTGCCCTCAGACAGGAGGGGGAGGAGGAAAGGTCACCAAGAGGGATTCTCGTCCAGGCTGCAGTCAACAAGGGAATTCTGTAAAAAGTACGGTAAGGGAAGAGAAGAAACACAGGTCCCCAAATTTAATAGCTGGTGAGTACATGCACGCCCCCAGGACAGCCCCGTGGCTATAAAGATGAGAGGAGAACAGTCTCCAGTGTCCCTGCGCTGCCCCTGGGGCCCAGCTCTCCCTTCCTCCAACATAGTGTCCCAGGAAGCCCCCAGTGCTACCCCCTGTGGATCTGTCTGTGCTCATCTCCAGAACAGACCACCACAGCCACCCCCTCCAGGAAGCCCTCCCCTCTCCATATGCATTAGTTAAGTTGTGTGCAACAGAAACCCAGCTAACAGTGGTTGTCCACGGGACAGCAGCTTGTGTGTGTCCCATGAGTGAGGTGAGCCGTCTGGGGCTGTAGGTTCGCTCTGTACCATGGGGATGTTCAGACACACTGGTGATGATGACCCTGGGAATTTTCCTTATTAGCATGACCAGGGCACCTAGGACCATGTCTATGGTCCGTGAGCAGGGAAAGGAGAGCAGAAAAGGAGGAAGTTTCTTTCCATTTAGGGCAACACCTACTTCCTCATTCTGTGTCACCATAATGGCTGGAATGTAGTCACACAGACAAAAGTAGCCTCGTGGAAGGCTGGTGAATCTATACATTTATTTATTTACTTTCCATTAAATTTAAATCCTTGAGGGTTACAGCATCACATGGATTCTGTGGCCAATGGCTTTAGCAGGAATGTGGTTTGGAATTTGGCACGGACCATGCCACTGTTACTCTTCCCCAGATTACTCTGGTTTTGTTTGGTTTGCCACCAGGAGTCACTGTGTTGTCCTTTGCTTTGTACACATAAGCACATTTCTTGCCTAGGTAGAATTCTCGAGCATATACACTTTCAATTTATTTATTTGACAGACAGAGATCACAAGTAGGCAGAGAGAGAGGAAGGGAAGCAGGCTCCCTGCTGAGCAGAGAGCCCGATGCAGGGCTCGATTCCAGGACCCTGGGATCATGACCTGAGCCAAAGGCAGAGGCTTTAACCTACTGAGCCACCCAGGTGCCCCTACACCTTCAATTTTAAGAAGAGTTGTATGATCCCCCTGATTCCGGAGACCCCGCTTATAGCTAGCAAAAATGGTCCTGGACCACAGCCTTCCAAATATTATTTGGCGTTTTAGGAGTCCTGTTTCCAGCAGGCCTCCACAGGATCCAAGATGGTGGAAAAAGACTGTAAGAGACTCTTAAATGAGGGTTGCTGGAGGGGAGGTGTGTGGGGGAAGGGATAATTTGGTGATGGGCATTAAGAAGGGTACATGATGTTAGGAGCATAAGGTGTTATATGCAATTGATTAATTGCAAAATTCTACCTCTGGAACTAATAATAAATTATGTTAACTAAATTGAATTAAAATAAAAATATTTTTTAAAAAATTAGGATCTTGAGGGAGAAGGACCTGAGAATTTTTTTCCCACCAGAAAGAGACCCCCTCCCCAGAAACTCTAAAACTATCTGGATCTCGTGCATGCCTGCTCCTGGAACCCTCCTACAGGAGTGGGAGATGTGACCTTAGCTCGAGATCCTGGAATCCAGAGACAGCCATGTGCATTGCCCCAGGTTGTGTTGGGGTTCTGGGGTCCAGCAGATCTCCAGTCTTCCACCTTCTCCTAGCCTGCCCTCCCACCAGCCAGGGGTCCCCCTAGTGCCCCTCACCCCCACCCCCAGGCTTGCTGCACAGCCGGATGTCTTCATATCTCCTTCAGAATTAACAGGAGCAGGAATTTCAGTTGAGCCCTTGGGGTGAGACAGGTATAGATCAGAATGAGGAAACCAGACCCCCCTCCACCTGAGTTCTTGTTGTTCTACAACACAACTCTAGCAACTATAGTTCCAACCATCTAAACCCAATCCCAATGATTAGAGCATCAGGAGAAACCTGGGCAGCAAATGCCCCCTTGGTGAGCATGGTGGGCTGGGCAAATGGATCAGAGGTGAAAAGGAAAAGTGAGGGTGCCCCTGTGCCCTGACTCTGCTGGAAGTCTCTAGAAGACTCCTGTGTCCCTGATATAGGGCTCCACTCCTCATGCCCCACCCCCCTGTCTCATGGTGATGGACTCAGGCAGCCCCTCATGCTGCACACAGCCTGTGTATCTCTCTTCATCTCCAGAAGGCAGCACAATGGCCACCCACTTCTGGATGGTTCCATCCCCTTCTGCATCGTCTCCACAGCTCCTTGTACTAGGTCTGGTGCTCCCTGGCCCACTGCCAGGTCACGGTCATCTCTGTAGGGCAGGAGCCCAGGGCACACAGCCCCTCAGGGTGACCCCATAGTCAGGGGGTTGGGGGTGGCTTACATGTGCTCTAGGAGGCTCTATGGAAAAGCAAACAGGGAGCACTAAGGCAAGGCCTTCTAGAAAAGCATCAACTCCACAGACCAAGATGGGATACCTGCTGAGGCTCTGGTTGCCTGCCAGGGTGAGGCAGGGAGTGTTCCCTATCAGGGGGCAGAAGGAACCAGCACTAGCCAGGCCCAGGCCCAAGACAAGAGGGTGGGAACCGCCTCTGACATTTTCCTCCAAGGGAAGAGCCTTTTCAGAGACTCTCCACCTGTTTATGAAGCCTCTAACTCAGTACCTCTAGCTCAGTATTGATAGGTCCTCACAGCTACTGTGTCTCTGGTGAGAAAGAGCCTGAAGAGTGAGAAACCTCCATGAGCCTCCATGAGCCTCAGAGCTACTGCCGTGCTCTCCTGAGAGAACGGTCCCCAGCGTGGGCCTAAGTGTGTGCCATGGCACTGCCCACGGGACTCAGGATGGGCCGCTGTCCTCAGCGCATGGCCCGCCATCCCACACTAGATGTTCTCCATCACTGTGTGTGAGTAGCTCTGGAGAGAGGGCAGCCCCAGGCTGAGCTGGGAGGAGCTGCAGGGCTGGGCTGTGGGGAGTCCTTACCAGTGCGGCTGATGTTCTTGTCCCAAACCCCAAGTGTCTCTGCAGCGACAGGAAGAGCAGCTTCTCGAGTCCATCTTGTCCCTCCATGAAGTGCCCACTGGCCTCCCGTCTCTGCTGGGGTAGCGGCAACGATGAGACTACCATGGATGGCAGAGGCTCCATGTCCAAACTCAGTCTGTCATTGTCCTAGTCATCCTGTCACCACCTCAGGGTCCCGTTATCCTCCTGGAGCTCCAGCCACTGTGACCTGCAGGGTGGGGGGCCTGCCTACTTCCTCCCCAGGACAGGCAGTGTCTGTCAGGGCAGAGCATGCCTCCAGAGCCCCCCAGCATTTTTCCCTGTGCCCCACCCCCACCAGCTTCTTCATAGGAAACATTCACTCTCTAGACTGTGCTAGTGTGACACAGTAAGAAGGACGGACTTGGTCTTCCTCTTCCTGCACACAGTTCTTAACACCTTTGTAATGGCCTGAGTGATGGGAGTCATAGGAGCATCTCTTCCTAGATTTTGTTCCAACATCTTAAAAAAGTTCTGGAAAGATCTTGCCCCATCCTTATACACTGTACCAAACCCCACTGCATACCGTCTCTGTCCTTTGATGCTGTGAGCCCTGAGAAGGCAGGACTCTGTTAGGGTCTGAAACAGAACCATCTGGCAAACTGTGGAATTCACGCTTCTGTATAGATCAGCTGGGAAGGTCTGAGCAGCCTTCCTCTTCAGCTCTAATCATGCCTCTCACTGGTTTATGCCTGGATCCCACATGCAAGGCCCTCCACTGACTGTTTCATATGCTAAACCCTCAAGACCTTAACTAAAAATGATTAACTACACCTATGTCCTGACCTCCCTGTGTCCAATGTCACCCACACCTTGCCCAGCCTGACAGTTGACTGCTAGGAACCTCACCCCCCTTCAACCTAGATCGTACACACACATCAGGGTCTACACAGAGTTCCAGCTCATTCATGAACCTTCCCCCAACCACTGGGGGTCTGGCCTATGAACCCTGTAAACTGTGTTTCTGCTTCTCATGTGACATCTAAGGAGGCGTCTGTCTTCAGTAGCTCTCAGTCTGCCTCACACCCTCAGTCACGTGCTCTCAGAAGTGTGGGCGCCTCCCTGTTTTCACTGTAGGCTCTGTGAGGACAACCACTAGCTTATACCTTCTGGTTCCTTCCCTAGAGGGACCTAAACTGTGTCCATGACCACTGAGTCTGGTTAGTTAACCACTTAATGACACAAGGACCCCGTCTGCCTGAGCAGACTTTCCCCCCTTCACTTTCACATGACAGCTTGTGCACACCTGCCTGCCCCAGCCTGACATGGGGGGGCACCTGACAGGAGGGTATCATGCCCCTGGGGGTCAGGGTCAGGGGTGTGCTTGACTCCCTCTGCTTTCTCCCAGGCCCCAAGCTGCTGGCTGTCTTGGCTGCTCTTTGTCCAGACTGAGCCCTGGGGTTTGGCGGTAGGGTCGCTGCACATTCCTCAGGTTTCGGGGGTTACTCTTCATCTGGCTTGTGAAGATCTTGGTCTCGTTGTCTGAAGAACTTGGCTATTGCGTGCACCACTGGACTCCAGACTGTCTCCAACTCCTCACGGTCATGGCAGAGGAAGTTGGCTGATCTGTGGAGCCCAAGGCAGGAAACGCAGGGCCTCCTGGAGCGGATTCGACTCTGCTGAGGGGGAATACTGCAGAGAGCACTGTCCTGAGGGAGGAAGTGGGGGCTTCGGAGGAGGCTCCAGGATTTACTGAGTGAGGACCTAGTGATGCACAGGTGAGAAATGCGTGTGTATGTCTGTGTGTGTGCGTGTGTGCACACGTGTGTTGTATGACAGGAGAGACAGGGCACACAACATAACACAATGGGAGACAACAACACAAAAACCCTCCCTATCCCCCGCCCCCTGTGACAGTCACATTCCAATCCCTCACCCATGGTGTCCCCATAGAATGCAGTGATTGCGTATGATTTCCTGCAAAGGAGGCACTATTTGCATTTCTACAATAAAAAATAAAATCCCTGCTACTTTGTCGAAACTCACTGGTGTCTTGCTCTTGCCAGCCGTGTAAAGATGACAGGCAGATCACGCCCCAAAGCTGTGTGAGAGCTGAACGTGTGAGCACATGCTGTCCGCGCTCAGGATGCAACGGAAATCATCAGCCACTGTAAAAGAGAACCGTTTGAAGAACATTATAAATGAGCTGCATGCAGGAACATCCTGGGAACAGTAGAACTTTCTATAATAGTACTGACTGGTGATAAGAGCGGCAAACATGGAAATGGTGTCATCAGAAGCTCGCCCTGTCCTCTGAGTCATGAAGCTGAGTGCCGTACGTGGTGACCGAGGCTGTGACCAGACTGTTGCCTGTCCCCGCGGGCTGTCCCTGCTTCTGCTGGCGGACCCCTGTGTCTACCAGAGTGAGACACGTGTGGGGAAAAGTTATCAGTCTGGCAATAAATCCTTATCCGTGTCGTTTCAAGTATGTCACAAGAATGTGTTCTAATCACTTAAAGACTCAGTTAAAGACGTGTAAGAATGAGGGTTTTGTTGATGTGAGGAGTTCACTGCATCAGGTGTCGTCACCGCGGCTCAAAGAAGCTGGGAAACCGTTACATGGTGGGACAGATGGTGCCCGTGTTGCCGCAAAGTTCCGGGCCTCAGACAAAGTTCTAGAGAAATTTCTGGATGTTCTCACTTGGTCCTGCAGAAGTCTCTGTAATCAGTGATTTCAGGATGATATAGTAAAGTGTTAACTCAAATAAGTAACTTTGAATATTTACACATGCACTTTCTACTCACAGGATTCTCTTGTTCACAGGTATTACTCATCCAGTAAATGATCATCTGAGACAGTTGCCAGAGGAGAGAGGGTGGGATCTGGCAACATGGGGAAGGGACAGTGGGAACACAGGCTTCCAGTTCCAGAATGAATAAGTTGATGGGAATAAAAGGCACAGCATGAGGAAGACAGTGGATGACACTGTCATAGGGCTGCATTGGGCAGATGCGAGCTACACCTGTGAGGAATAGAGCGTGACGTGCCAACTTGTCACATCATTACTTTGTACACCTGAGACTAATGGAATATTATGTGTCAACTATACTTAGAATTTAAATACTTTTTAAAATTATTCTATTACAGTTTGGGCAAGGTGTTTTTCACATTTTACATTAAATGAATATACATAGCAAATTCTAGTCTTGTGTATGATAATTGATAAATAAAATGTGCAATGATCGCATTTAACTTACACAAAATTAGGTACAAAGACTAAAAATACAAATAAACATCTGAAATGATTAAATATTGTATTTCAATATTCAGAGGGAAAGGATAACCCTGGGCAGACCTGGGCCTCCAGCAGGGCTAAGACAGCAAAACTGCTGAGCATGGTGTCAAATCTGTTAGAGTCACTTAATAAGAAGACATGCAAATGGAGTAAGTAAATGTTTGGGAAATAAACTTTTTTCCAGAGAGTTGGCTTCGATAACTTTTTTATGAACAGTGATGTAAATACTGTCTTTAGTCTTAGAGCAGTATGTTACTAATTACAAAATGTGGATTAATTTGAGAAAATAAGAATTAATGAGCATATAAAAGTATTAAGGATATCAAGGAGGAAAAAGTAGAGGATACTATTTTTCAAAAATTAATATGACATAGCAATTTATTTTATTTTATTCTAATTTTAAGGACTTATTTATTTCAGATGGAGAGCACTCAGAACCCTGTGAGCCCAGGGAGGGGCAGAGGGAGAGAGAGAGAGAATGCTAAAGCAGACTTTTGCTGAGCCCACAGCAGTACACAAGGCTCAATCTCAGGACCCTGAGATCATGATCTGAGCCAAAATCAAGAGCCACCTACCCCTTAATCAACAAAGCCACCCAGGTGCTCCTGGCATAGCATTTTAAAGAAAAATGTCCATATCAAGAAAAAAAAAATGACATTATTTAATAAATTCTGTGATTGCAATTACAATTTGAATAAAATACACACATAAAGAAGTTTTAAGTTTTAATTTAATTAACCTTGATTATTTACAAAGCTATATAGATTTAACTAGTTAAATCCATACAATCAGTTGCCAGGATCAATATGTAATAATAAATGATTTTGGGGACTGAGTGAACCACAGAGACATTAAATATATAAGAATTTCTGACAATATTACAGGGGAAAATCTAAATGCAGTTGTTACAGTGAGGGAAGACCTAGGACCATGAACAATATAGTTGACATTCTATAGTTGTTACTTAAAAAACAATATAATGGGGAACCCACTGAACATTTTCTGTGGGGCTCCCTTGTGAAACCAGGGCTCACACGGGCCTATCACTTCACTAATGACAGCTTTGTAAAAAAGAATCACTCCAAAATAGTTTGGAATCTCGACAACTGAGACATTTTTATAATGCTTTAAGAAATAAAATATACTACAACTTCTATCATCCGGAAGCAGTTTTTATAATACACAGTTTAGTTAGAACATAGAAAGGCTATAACTAAACCTTTTCCTATACATGGTATTATTGTACTGACGGTCATGTTTTTAATAACATCCTTGCCTGACATGGAGTTTGCTGCAGGAATCGTTGGCTGACGGCATGTCTGACGTAACAGGTACACGGAGAGGACCAGGGGGACACCCCGGGCGACTCAGAGTCAAGTGTTCAGGGAGCTTCAGAGTGTGCAGGGCAGACAGTGTGTCAGCGGAGACGTCTAGAACCAGAACGAACACGCAGGCACAGGAACACAGTCGCAGCCCTGCTGGGGCTTCTCCTGCCCCTCCCCCCGCGTGGGAACCTGCGGACTCAGGCACCACGGCATCTCCACGTGAGCACCGGAGCCCGAGTGCGCAGCAGATCCGGGCTTCTCCATCTGTTCATTCCTGAAGCCCAGGCCTTGTTTGTGGGCCTTGGTGGCTACTGCTCGCTCTGCTGCAGGGCTGCACCCCTGTGGGCAGAGGTCATGAACATCTCAGTCCCCAGCAGCTCCCAGTGGAGGGAAGGGCCGGTGGGGGTTTCCTGAGTGACCGCCTGCTCAGGGGCTGACTCAGGAGGATGACCAGGGCTGGCCAGCACTAGTTAGGAAGGGAATCACCTCCTGAGTGTCTGTGGGGAAAGAAACGTTCATCTTCACGTGGAAGGGTCTGGATGGGCTCCACCCTGGGAAAGGAAAGTGAAGGCAGAGCGTCTCCTGAAGAGCGGCGGACGGGGGCACCCTCCACTACCTCAGCTCCCGAAGTCCTTGCAGGAGCCCCCTGCCCGCCCCCCCCCCCCCGCCCCCGCATCGGCTCCTCCCCCTGCGGGCCCCACCCTGCTGGGCAGAGGTGAGGAGGCTGGGGGTGGAGGACAGGAGTACAGTGTGTCTTTGCTGAGCTGCTCCCAGGGTTCAGCAAGAACACAAGGCCACACCTGTCACTGCACTGAATCTCTGTGCAACCCTCTGGGAAGGGAGGGGAGAGGGAGCAGCATCTACTTCAGTTCCCCGAGGTGACTTTAAGGTGGGGGGGGAAGAGACTTGTGTGCTTTCCCTGTTAGGGCTTCTCCCAACTCTCCCAGGCTAAGGGCTCCTGCTGCAGCGGGGGAAGGGTCACAGCCAAAACCCAGGCTTGTCTTCGGACTCCTCCCTTCCATCCCCACCCTGTGCCTGTTCAGGATGAACACTCCTGGTATCCATGTTTGCAGGGAGAAGTGCAGACAGAACTGGCCTGGAACCCAGCACATATCACCACGTAGCAGCAGAGCAGACAGGAACAGAGTAGAGGGGAGGCAACAATTGCTATTGCTCAATGGGCTTGAGAAAGGAGAAAAAACCTGTGTATGTTCATCGTCTCTCACCCGAGTACACCTGCACTTCGGGTTCCCCTGCAGCCCTCCAGAGCACCAGCACTTTAATGTTCTAGCACATGGAGCTGGAGTGGGGCAGGGGCTCAGGGCAAGGGGGCCATCATGCACTGTTCCCTGGATGGTTCCAGTTAGAGCCAGAGCAACTTTCCAACCCCACTCACACAGGAATGCAGCAGAGAAAGTGCTACTATCCTGTCGTCACAGGATTTTTGTTCCCCGAGTGCCTGTGATTTTTGGTCATGCTTTTGTGAAAAATGGAGAGGTGGAGGAGAGGGAGAGTGGTGGGCCCCAAAGCAAGTGTATTGAGGGATAGTACAAAGCTCCCAGAGAGGGAGGGGACCTTGTTTTGTTATTTAAATCAAGGGGTTTTTATAAGCTCTTAGGATGAACTGTCTTGAGCTTTCTGAATGTGGGCCCCTGTAGATTGGCTGCTAACATGTGCCAATCAGGGCTGTGATCATGCCCCGTCTACTTATCTGATTACTGTTCATGTGCTGCTGGTCTTTGGAGCTGACATCTGGAGACTAACTGCCTCAGCTTGTGATAGTGACCAATATTTCATGATTAACTGTTTTGTTTCAGGATGTTTTACAAAACACTCCTGCAGAGGCTGCTAGACAGGATGCTCCTGTGGTCTTTTCTAAACTGTAAAACAGGATGCTAGTGCGGTTTTGTCTTAGCTGTTCTGTTCCCTGTTTTCTTGTTGGGGACCCGGGCCCTGACTACCTATGTGTCCAATTAACCTTGAACACCATTAGGTAGAGGGGTTGAGGGGGAGGGTTTGGTTTTGTCCATTTAAAAATTCTTTCCTGTGTTGCTACACAATATGGAGCAGTCAGAAAAGGGAAATGGGTGGGGCGCTTGGGTGGCTTAGTCCGTTGAGCATCTGACTCTTGTGTTCTGCTTAGGTCCTAGGATCTAGCCCTGCCTCCGGCTCCCTGGAGTTGCTTGAGGTTCTTCCTTGCCCTCTGCCAGTTCCCTGCTTGCATATGCTCTCTCTGTCTTTCTTTCTCTCTCAAAATAAGTAAAATCTTTCTAAAAAATGGGAAATGGGAGAAGGAAAGAATTGACAGAGTTTCTCATAAGGCAGAGACATGAAAACAAAATAAGAAACAAACAAGACTTCACATGTGTGATGGAGTTTAAACCATGTTTAACTCTGTGATGTCCGCCAGATGTTCCTCTCATGTCCCATGTGAGGAATGCGGCCTGAAGCGCCCGATGACAGAGCTCATGGAGCCCAAGTCTTGACCCCCACCCAGGGCCCCATCTCCTGCAGCAACTCCAGGGAGGAAGTGGCATTGGAGGGCACGCGGTGGGTCCCTTATGACACCACAGTTCCCTGTGCAGCACCAACCCCACAGAGTGGAATCCTCTCAGTGATGGAGGACTCACCACCTATGAAGGAAGGTCACTCCTGTGTTAAGTCTAATTTGAAAACAAAAAAGCAAAACAACAACAACAACAACAACAAAAGCAACAAACCTTAGAGATTCTTAACTCTAGGAAACAAACAGGGTTGCTGGAGGGGAGGTGGGGGGGATGGGGTAACCGGGGGATGGGCATTCAGGAGGGCACGTGATGGAATGAGCACTGGCTGTTACACACAACTGATAAATCACTAAATTCTAT